CCCTGCACCCCCTCCCCTGCACGATCACACACAGCCCTCTGGCCCATGCACACCTGCACTGAGCTTCAGTCTCAGCCCGCTCACACTTGCGCCTCCTCCATGGGCACACTTCCTACCACACACACCTCCCCTACCTCTGCACACAGCTCAGGCTACACACACTTCGCACACCATCTGAGTATCTTCGACACCCATTGCAACACTTGTCACAGAGCCCAGGGCCACAAGCACCCCATGGCACACACACTGCACCTCACACCCACCCTTGGCCACCAAGGCCCCACTCACAGCTTCCTGCTGCTCCTCACTGTCGCACACACATGCACCCGGCCCTGTGCACTGCCAGCTCCCCTCAGTAGGCCTGGTTCTAAGGACAGGCCCTGCCTCAGGCTCACTCAGAGCAGCAGGGAAGGCACAGTCACCTGCTTCCAGTTCTTCTCTCCGGGGATGGGGGAATGTTGGTCATGGATGTGCCTTTGGGAGCAAACTGTCCCCTCCGTTGAGCCCCGGGGAGTGTCCACAGCACCCAGGCTGCCACGGATGCATCACCGAGCACCGGGAGGACCTGGCGTGTGTTTATGTGTATTTTCATCAGAACTTTGCCTGTAGCTTCCTGGCCTTGCAGTCACATCCTCTCCTAAACCTAAACCCCACCCAGGCACCCACCCCTTCCCTAGGCGGGCGGGCGGGCAGTGGTGGTTCTTGCCCCGCCTGCCCCAGCTCTTCCTGTAGCTCTGAGTCAAGCGGCTCCTTCCTCTGGGGCCCGCCCCAACCCACCCAGGCACGGCACTTTCCTCTGTGCAGTGTGTGTGTGTGTGTGTTGGGGGCTGGGGGGGTGCTCAAAGGGGCAGGTTCCAGGGATAATGGGTGGGGTGTCCTCCTGGCACGGCGACCCCAGCCAGGGCCATCATGCATGTATGCCCGGAGGACAGGGCTGCACCGTCTGCAGTCTGCCTCCCAGTCAGCACTAGGGTTCACACTCAGGAGCCAAGGGGCCAGCTGGTGTGCGCCCCCATGCGTCTCTGACCTCTGACCCCAGGGTACGGGGCCTTCCGGAACTCCAAGCCAACCCCGGGGCTCCAACAGGGCTCTCTGGCCCTCTCCCTGACCCTCTCCCGGGCAGGGGCCCCCAGTGGTTGAGCAGTTGCTATGGCATCTTGTGGACCTTCCCTTCAGGCTGGGGTGCGAGGGCAGTGCGCCCTTTTCCAGATAAGGAGCAAACACAGCTGGCCGAGGCTCCTGGCTCAGAGCAGATGGGGGCAGACGGCCTCTCCGTTGTCACCACACGGACACCCCCAGGCTGACCTGGGACTCGAGACCCAGTGACTGCTGGCTGGTACTGCCCACGGAATCAGACAGGGGTCTCCTTTGGCCCCTGGCCCTGCCCTCAGTCGCATGGGGCTGGGAATCTCAGTCCCAGCCTGGCCCTGGCGGCCTCGCACTGCCCACCACGCTCTGCCGGGCACCCTGAGGTTCTTAGAAAGCGCCAGCTCCTCCCGCCCTCAGCCCCAGCCAGCGCCCTCGGTGTGCGCAGCGCCTGCAGCTTGAGGACGACTCCCCTGGAGCTCGGACACGCCGCCGCTCTGCTCCCCGCGCGTGCAGAGTCCCCGCGCCTGCCCTGAAGCGGGAACGTGCGCAAGAGGCTGCCGAGGGCCGCATCTCGCTCCCCTTTCCTGCGCCCTTCAGGTGCGGAGAGTGGAGGGACCGGGACACGCACGGGGGCGGCTCGGGGCGCTCGCCCGGGCACAGGCGCGCGGATGGCGGAAGCTCCACCCGGCGCCCGGCGAGCTCCGGCCCCAGCCTGACTCTAGGTCGCCCTCGGCGCCTTAGGACGTCTCGAGCCGGGATCCAGGCTTGGGGGACGGAGCTGGGACCCCCGCGCGCCTCGGCCCGCTCTGTCCTCCTGCGCGGGGGTCGGGCAGAGGAAAGGGCTCCCAGCCCCCTTCGCCCACGGTCCCTCCTTTCCCCAGGCCTGGAATGGGCCAGGACGCGGGCGAGCTCGGGCTTCCGGGCGACGCGGGAGCCTCCCTGGCTCCGAGCGGCTTCCTGAGAGACCGCGCCCAGGGACAAGCAGCGCCCCGGGCCCCCGACTCCAGGCCTGGAGCGGCCCTGGGAGGACAGCGGCCTCCACTCACCTTCGCGGGTCCGGTCGCACGGCCACTCACCTGCTGCCGCGACCTGGGGCTCGCGCGGGGCGGGGGCGGGGCAGCTCACCTGAGCCAGGTGCGCGGCGGCGACGGCCCCGGGGGCGGCAGCAGGTGCGGCCCCGCCCCGCAGTCAGGGCGGGGGCGGACCCAAGCGTCCCGCTCTGCGCCCAAGGCTGGCGCTGGAGGCGGTACCGCTGCCGGGGAGCCGCGGCCGCCGGGCCTGGGACCAGTGGTCAAACCAGCCCGACCAGTGCGCGGAGCCCCAGAGCCTTGGGGACGTTTCAGAGCTTCTCTCCTCTCCTCCAGGAAGCCTGTCCTGACCCCCACCCCACCAAGTGACCCCATGTTGTCTGTCACCCTCAGCACCCCAGGTGCAAGGAGGAGAGGACCCCCATAGGCATCCCTCCCTACCGGAGAAGGGCCAGGGCCTGAGGCTGCCCCTCACCTGCTTCCAGACCTTCCACACTGTGCCTTAGTTTCCCATCTATCCCTGAGGGCAGATATAATCCCCCGGGGACCCAGCAAGGCCAAGAAAGCAAGACAAACAGGTTTAATTTTATTACAGAAACTCCTGGCTGAAGGGAACAGGCCGGCGAGGTGGGCTCAGGTCACCTCCCAACACCCAGAATGGGGGCACGGCAGAATCTGGGGCCCAGAAGTCAGAAGCAGCCCAGGAAACTTGGCCCAGTTTTCCTGCCTTGTGGCTGCCTGAGAAGTCCCACTCCCAGTTCAGCGGGTACCCAGGGTCACCCAGAATTCAAGTCAGGATGTGCCAAGCTTGAGAGCCCCCACAGAGACGGAGCAGGTGGAACAGGCCGGCGGCTCACAGATGCCCTGAACAGACAGGGAGCTCCTGCAGCCCCCATGGACACAGCCTTCTGACAGCACCCCTCCCTCCACACGCAGCGGGAGGCCAGTGGGAGGTGTGCTGGTGCTGACACTGTCTCAGCTCCTGGGGGCCAGGGCCTCTGCACGGGCTCTGGCCCTACACATCTGTGCTCCTGGCGCTGAAGATGGAGGCTGCGGTGGGATGGGTGGGTGTCGGGGGCTGAGGGCCCGTCCGCATCCTGCCCAGCCTCTGCCTTTCCCTCATCTTCTCACACAGATGCTGGTACTTTCTCTCCAGAACGCTGTTCTTCACCGACTGCGGGACGTCAGGCACGAACCAGGCAGCAATGAGCTTGATGCACAAGGCCACGTGCTAGGAGCAGCACAGGAGAGGCCCAGCACTGTCAGGTGCCAGCCGGGATCCGGGTGCTCGGGGCCAGGGAGGAGGGCTGGAGAGAGAACTGCCCCAACCCACTCTGAGGCCTCTCCCGGTTCTCGCTCACCTCAAAGAGGATGACGAAGGCCAGGCGGATGGCCAGGAGGAACCAGAACTTCCTGGTGAGGGTGTAATGGCGGGGATGGCGGTAGTCCCTGTACCTGGGGAGAGGGAGCACCTGAGGTCAGGGGTCAGGAGTTCAGAGGGCATTCGTGGGGGAAAGGGAGTTCCAAACCTGCAGTGAGTCACGTTTTCTGAGCCCTTAATCCCATCAGGGTCCTGGAAGTCCTTGGTGTAGAAGACGGACAGGCTGTGGTTGACGTAGCCCGTGAGGCAGCTGGGGAGGGGGGAGAGGAGTGTGGGCGGGGGTGGGCTTCCAGGCGGCCCCTCCGGGCCCCAGGGTGCTTCTAGCCTGCATTATGGAGGCCACACCACAGACAGTCACCAGTGGGATGGGCCCCCGGGCCAAGCACATCTTCACATCCAGGGGGCTCGGGGGCCTGCGGGGACTCTGGACATCACCAGCCGCCTTCCCTGCCAAGGACTGACCCTGGGGACCCAGTCTGCAGTCTGGTGGCTCCTTGACATCAGAGGAGCCGGGTAAGTCAGACGAGGACACGCAGGCAGTCCTGGTCAGTTACTCCTGACCTTCAGCCCGGGGCCTGCAGGCCACCCCCGGCCCCAGCCTCACTGCAGTCCCGGGGTACCGGCAGATCCAGCCACTTCCAGGAGAGTCTGGGTCCCCCCCCCAGGCCCCCGGGGCTTGGCTGTGGCCGGACGTTTCTCCCAGGGGTCTCCAGATACTTGGAGGCCTCACTCGACTGTGGAGTTGGCTTCCTTCAGGCACGGGCTGTAGCGGTACTTGTAGACCACTCGAGGGATGAACTCAGATGTGAAGGCGATGACCATCCCATTGGCAATGACCGCTAGCACTCCGATGGTCTCCAGCACCTGGAGCCAGGTCCCTGCACAGGGCAGCGAGCAAGCGGCTAGACTCCTCCGGCCTCCCTTGGCCGGCTCTGCCCCCACCTGCCCACAAGGGGCCCTCCACGCCTCTATGCATGGCGTCCCATTGCAGCTCCAGGGCCACGGAATTCACTAGGAAGTCCCCAGCCCCACAGAGCATGGCCTCAGCTCTCCTGGCCCTACCCTGAGGTGGACAGCAAGGGACTCAGGAAGCCTCACCCCTCCACCTTCCTGAACTTCTCAGCTGCCCCCGAGCCCCTGCACCTCCTGGGTTCCCACCCCAGGGCAGGACCCCACAACCTGGGCTCAAGACTGGGGAACTCCCCAACACCCCTCCCCCATTCCCCAGGTCCAGCACTCCCCAACACCCCTCCCCCATTCCCCAGGTCCAGCACCCCAGCCCGGGTCACTCCCCTGCTAGCTGCCCTCTCAGCCTGGCCCATCTTGGGACATAGGCCAGCTGCTCTGCTCCTGCCCCAGCCACTGGCAGCATCTGGGTCCCCCTTGGGGGCATCAAGCCCCTCTGAGATCCTGACGGTTTGTGGTGGGGCCCTGCCCACTCTTGAGAACCCCCCACCCAGGCTCAATCCGCACCCCAGGCCTCTGGAGAAGGGCTGGGTCTGTCTGCGGGGTGAGATCGGAAAGATTATTTCAAGGAGAGCCCGGGGGCCAGAGGGAGGCCAACAGGCTGAGCTCAGCCTCGGTTCCCGCCCATGCTGCGCCCGTCGGGCCTGACCGATGTCCTTGGCTTTGCGGGGCACCAGGCGCCGCTGCAGCCGGACCATCTTGATGGCGTCCAGGCGGATCTCCACGAGGTTGCTGAAGAGCGCGAGCAGCGGCGCCAGCGGGAAGGCGGCCACGAAGATGGTGGTGAAGCCGTACTGGATCACTGCGGGGTGGGGGTCACGCTCGCGGGCGCCCCGCGATCATCTCCGTGGACCACCCCCCCGCAGCGCCCACGCGCCGTCCCCGGAACCCAGCCCCGCAGCGCCCCACGATCATCTCCGTGGGCCCAGCCCCTGCAGCGCCCACGTGCCGTCCCCGGGATCCCGCCCCGCAGCGCCCCACG